TTCATTTATATAAAATATCAAAAACTCTTGAAAAAAAAATGAAGGCAAGTTATATCGACACCTCGGACCTCTTTTAAATTGTGAAAAAAAATGAATGATGTGATTCTACACACTGATGACTGCTACATTGGGCACAGATCCAATTCAGACAATGGTGAACTGGTGAATGCACATCGAGAGATCTTGAGCGACAGCGCAGAGATGTCTCAAAGTCCCGAGAGCGACAGGAGATTACGTAAGTCACTTAGTATTCTGGGTCACACAGTCATCTATATATATATATATATATATATATATATATATATATATATATGTGTGTGTGTGTGTGTGTGTGTGTGTGTGTATAATTTTTTTCTCCCCCATGTATTACTACTGTACTGCTTCCTGCTCTTCGCACTGTACACAGCCAAGAGTTGGCGCCACTGGACAGATGAATCAGGCTGTATGAGGCTTAATTTGAGTTTCCGTGCATCCAACCTGGATAATTCTTTCTTTAAATATGTCATACATGATTAATGATATGATGATAATGATTACATATTCTTGCAAGAAGGAATAACATCAATGGAGCTAAAACACAGTGCAAACCTGTGTGTTTTAACCTTGACGATCACCCAATATCCCCACACAGGTGGTGTGCTGTTCCACAAGATGCTCCCATTGTGTCCACTCCCAGAATCAGATTACATCCCTTGACTGGACAAAAGCCTTGTTTGTCCTGAGCTGTTTGCTTCATAAATAAGGCCCGTGCAGAATAACACTGCACACACATCTTCACTGTGTTTTAAACACAAAAGCCTCCTATTTTTTGCAGGGGATTTTATGATTATTAGGCTGGAATATGGGGAGATACACCGGTTAACAGCTCCCGTGAATGGCTACGTGTAAACCGGACGCAGCACTGGATAAACTTCAAAATAAGAGCTTTGAGATTGTGTTAAAATAGTGTTGTCGCTTATTTAAATTTTAGGATAGGCAACGTCGTATATGATAGATGATAGAGGTGAATTTCAATTTTTTTGAGTTGGTTAATTTGGTTGCCTAAGCATATTTTTCGAAGTTTCACGAATTGTAGTTATCTTTTAATTTGATGTCCAACCGGAAGTCGCACTGTCTACTTCCGATAGCGGCTTTGCCCTAGTTTAAAAAGGTGCTCTGACAGCTGTCACCTTTCTTCTTTACACTCCCCCCGGCTTTGAAGATAAATAATGGTCATGTGGAACCACAAATCTGACGTTTAACCCCTTGAAAACGTGCACGAAATAAAAGCAAACAAAACGCGTCGCTGTCACGAGCGTGAGAGGGCGACTGTGTCCTCGAGTGTGTACCAGGAAGAGACGCCGACACACCGTTCCTTTGTAGCCTTGATGGCACGCGATTAAACGGCTCACGATTATGGTTTATGAATGGGAAAAGTGATTACGGTCGCTATGGTGGGAACAGTTTGTCTTTTGTGGCCTACACGCACGCCAAAACACCGCAAACTAACAGCCCCCTTTGCACCATTTCCGCGTTGAATGTCGGATAGCCACACACGCTTCCCAGGTTTCTCACATGCAAGTCACCTACGAGACAAAATGGCGTTTTATTCTTTTTTTGTTTGTTTGTTTATTCCGGGCCAAATAACTTTCTACAAATGTCGCAGGATATACGATTAATGAGTCCTAGGGTACTGCATGACGTGTCTATATCAATGAGGACGAACGCGAGAAGTCGAGGAAGGAGTGCGGGGTGGGGGAAGCAAAAACAAGCCAACTTACCGAGTGCCACTTCGCAGGCTTTGCGTAGCTGAGAATGGTGGGCTTTCTTTACCTCCTTGTCGGCTAAAATCTTCTCCAAAGCTCTTGTGAGGAACATGTTTTTCGTCTTTTTGCCCTCAAACATGACGCACCGGAATTCGGGGCGCGGTATGTGTGTCTCTGAAGAGGAGAGGTGATGGTGGTGGTGGTGGTGGTGGTGGGGGCTCTTGCCCACAAAACGAAGGCTTCCACTCGTCGCAACGTTGAGCCTCAAGCAGCAGCCAAAACAAAACAAAAAGGAAAGGAAAGAAAAGAAAAGAGGAGACACATACACACACACAAAGGTGGGCTTCAATCCCGTCCGATGGCCATCAACGACCTGCCTCCTGCGCCATGTTGGAGAGGAAATTACGTCACAGTGAGGCAGAGGCCGCCGCGTCAGGAGAGAAGTAGCGGTGATGCTGCTTATGCTAATCAAATAATGTTCAACAACTTCACTATCCACAAACACGAAAAAAATATGAATTTTGTCTTGAATGTAAATAAATATATTCAACCTAAGTTGAATCACCGAATAAATTGTATCGGGGTAAACTTTAAAGTTTCATTTGTCTCCAACGTGTAAGCTACATGCTAAAAATGCCAATATGTACAGTATCTTGCATGCTTTTATCAATTTTGACCAGGAATATAATTAATAATAATAATAGTAAATAACTTACTGTCATTATGTGTCTTTTATTGCTCCAAATGTAAGGTTTTGTAAAAAAAAAAAAAAATCTCCTGAGAAAAAGATTATGTCAACATTTTCAAATGGGAATTTTAAAGGCTTTCCATAATTTATTATTGTGATTTAATAATGTTTATACTACAATCCACCAATTTATTATTTATTATTAAAATAAAAGCCTTCATGTTTCCCCGCCAGCGTGGTTTATTTTTCCCTTCCCCTCAGTAACCTTCATAAAATCATCCATCCATTTTCAACACCGCTTCTCCTATAAGCCTATCCCAGCTGACTTTGGGCAAAAGGCACACTGCACCCTGAACTGGTCGCCAATCAGTCGCAATACAAGACACCATAACTTCTGTTTTCTTTTCGTTGTAATTTAAGAAATTCAATGACATCCATGTTTTGATTTACTCTAGACAGGACAAAAGTGGTCGAAAGGAGAACGGATCCTTTTTTGCCTCGCGGGATATAGATCTGTCATCCGCTTAACAGTGGAAGGAAATACCATGTTTTCTTCGAATGGAGCCTAAGAGCAGCCAATACAGTAAAAACAGCAGGGGCCATAAAATAGAACCCTATGGGACACCATACGAACGGAGGGGCAGCGGGAGGACTCAGAGCAACCTAGGCAAACACAAAGAGTCCTGTCAGCCAAATAGACACGACTACTAATGCCCACTTGATGCTGCAAACAAGTCAGCAGAATACTGTGGTCCACCATATCAAATGCTGCGGTTTGACTCAACAATACAAAACACACAGTCTCCAATGTTATTTGTCCGGCTGAAAAAGGAAACGCTGTGAGTCCCTCAAGTGTGGAAAAATCTAGAAACAAACAAAATGTTATTGTGAGAAAGGGCAACAAACGACTAACATTTACTTCTGTGCTCGGTTATCTGAAAAAAGGCCAGGCGCTCGCTCGCCATCTTGCTGCATCTAATGAACAATTCACTTACAGGCCTGACATGATGACGTCGACCAATCAAAGCCAACCTTCTTCTGCTTGCTTGTAAAACAAACCAAACTCTCTTTTCTCTCTCTCTTTCTTTAACACAGTGTACCAATACATTCTTCTTTGCGTGTAAGTAGCTTTTGTGGAACTTGGGCTGGAGATGCATCATAACTGAACACTAGATCATCCAGGCGTCAAGCTGTCGCCATCTTGTGGTCAGTATGAGAAGTGCTCTGGATCTCTTTTTTTTTATTCCAAAATGCAGACGATACAACAGGAGTACCTATGTCGCAATTGTAATCATCAGTATAAACACTATACACAGCCCGCCCCCCCCAAAAAAAATAGAGACACAGATGAGTGACCTTTCAAAGAAAAAGATCAAATTCAAAGAGCGAAACATCTTAATGTTGCGAGAAAACATTAAGAAAATGCTTTTAACTTTACAAAACACTTTGAACAGGAAAATCTTTGTTTTGAGAACAATTTTGACCACCTGTGTGTGGCCAGTATAAGGACAGACGGCTATATTGCTCATTGAGACATCTAAGCTACTCAGTATGGTATTAGCACGAGTAATTTTTTGCGGAGGATAAAGGATATATGACTCGGTAGTAAGTCAATATTGCTATACTGTATTGTCTTTTTACATCTGCCACTGCCATCGCTTGTGTAGAATCAGACAAACTGTTGAGTTACAGGACTGTAGCATTGAGCTATTTTGCATTAGCATTAATCTAACGTACGAAAAGTGATGCGAAAGAAACAAGGCAACATTCACTGGGATGGTTGAGAGGTTTTTATTGTCATGGCTTTCCAGCAACCAGCGTCCACTCACTCGCTCGCACCCCCCCCCCCCCACACACACACAC